CATTCCTGCCCACGTTTCCTTTTTCCACACCAGGAGGCTTTTCTCTGTTGTTGTGTGCCACTTCTTCCAGCAAGTGCCATTTCCTTAGTCTTTGCTGTCCCCCCCTGTCAGAGCCCTAGCATCTCTGATGAAGACCTTGCTCATTCAAAGGGGTAACCTACCACCCTGTCTTGTGTGGATCACAGATGCTGAAGAACTGATCAGGCCAGAACCATGTAATCACTTGTTCCACTATCTGATCAGAAGAGTTGGGGACACTCACGGGATTTCTGTTTCTGAGGTGGTGGCAGCAGGGTTTTACCTGGGATTTCTTGTTTTCCTACACATCATGTCTACCTCTGCAACCTTTAGGCTGTCTGGGGACACTTTCTCTGGCACTGGTGCTTCATTGGACAGAATTGAAGGCATGAGGTGCTCCCTCTTTCTTATAGGGAGTTCGTGCTCCTGCTGTAGGGTTCCTAGTCCCCACCTACCTTCTGTGGGAGCAGCCAAAAATTGGGTTGTGCTAGGGCAGTGCATGGCAGCACCTTTATGCAGGAGTCATCTCCTGTTCCAGTGCCGTTTTGGAGGGGAAGCAGTTAGGAGAATCCCATCTCTGAGCTATAACCCCGTCCTTGGTGTGTAGGGAGTTGGTGGAGACAGCCAGACATGGAGTTCTCTGGCCTTCATTGTAACAACAATAGGTGCGGAGACTTGAGTCAGTGCTGACCAGTTCTAAGGCAACCAGCGTTGTGGACAGATTAATTGTGACTGATCGGATGCCAGGTCAGGCAGATTGGATCTCATCTATTGTTGTCCTTGCCTCTGAGGTGTCTATCTCCATGCAGTCAGGGCCTGTGCAGGGAGGGATATGCTAGTTCTGTGAAGGAAGAGTATCCAGGTGCCTTTGATAGGGCACATTGCATTTGTAGGAGTCCAGGTTGCTGCCCTATAGTATAACATCCATCTTCACAGCCCTCTGTTGCATCCTTGCAAAAGGTAGCTTTTACAACAAAGGGGAGGCAGCTTCCTGGGGCTGTGGGTGGTGAGGCACTAGCTAGTCCCAACTTCAGTAGGTATTGGGCCCAGAAGGAGAGTGGACAGTAAGTAGTTCCTGTACTGGAGCCTGCAGGCACTTGTTTGACATTTCCAGCTCGGGCTGAAGGCCCAGTCTTCTGAAGTACACAGCACAGTCCACTGCTAGGGAGTCTGCTGTAGCACTGAAGGGTCCCCTGATGTGGATAGGCTTCTGGGTGAGCAAGCCCTGGGTAATACCTGAATGGACCAGATGGACTCAAGTGGTGGTTGCAGTTACAGAAAGAGTTACCTCTAGCATGTGTAGGTTGATTCTTTCTCGTGTGTGTGTGCAGTTATCTAGGACAACAGTTACCCAGAGACTTCCTCAGCTGGAGAGTGATGGACTAGGACAGTGGCTTTTAACATTTTTTCATTTGCCAGGCCCCTTTGGAAATTTTGAATGGAGGTGCATGCAGACTCCTTTAAATTGTAAGTGCGAGAATTCTTTTGCTTGATTATACTTTTGCTTGATTATAATAATCTTTCACGGACCCCTTAGATGTAGTCTGTGGACCCCCAGGGGTCCACGGACCAAAGGTTGTAAACCACTGGACTAGGACACTGTTAGAGCCTCCCTCTGGATTGATGTCTATCTTGGCTCCCAATCCAAAAGACTTTTGAGAAGCATTGGCTCATCAGCTGACCAGGACTCCCAGCCCCATACGGAGTAAATTGGAGTGGCTGAGCTCCCCTCCTTGTGCCCCAACACAGTCTGAATGGCCTTTTGTTGCACTGCTTTGGAACAGGTTCGACCATCTTCTGATGTGGAGGAAGCATGGTGATCGGGAGCTGTTGAACAAGGCTGCTTTGTTACGTCTCAAGGCCCTGGGTGGGTTTGAGAGGGTTTTAAGTAGTCTGCTTCAGGTCAGTCTTGTGGCTATCGAGTTAGCACAGCTTCAGCCAGCAGCAGTTAAAAGCTGAGGTTAGCTGAATGGGGTTTGTTAAGTAGGTGTATTCTGAGAGCTGGCTTTGGCTGCTGGCATGAAGGTTTCTTTCCATAAGTTTTGTGTTGCGTTTGGGGTGGGGCTCCCCGGGCTTCAGACTGCAAAAGCTGGAAGTGTGAGGCTGAACGAAAGCTGCCAGAGCAGATGAATTCAGAGTGAAGGGTGCATCAGCAGGCCTGACTGGGCTTCTTGTTATGCCTGGTCCCCTGTGTATCCAGGTTTTGGAGGCCTGACAAGCACATGACCTTGAGCATTAGATGGGCTGTTCTTATCTGGTCCCCCTGCAGCTGTGTAAGAATGTAGCCAGACACCCGGGGCAGCTGTCGCTTCTAGTGGCCATTGCTATCATAAACATGTGATAAAAGCCCCCCCCCCCCCCCCTCTTTTTTTTTTTTTTTTTTTTTTTTTC